TAAAAATGGAGTACGGCGTACATGCCAAAAATGGCCGTACAAAAACTTACGAACAATAGAATCTGCAGCCAAAAAAAGCCCATAGATACGGTAATTTATAATTCACACACTAGTTAAAACCGAAGTTGACTTCATAGGTAAGCTCAAAGTCCGTAGAACTTTTACCTGTATGAACATTCTCGTCCGAGCTTGTCTCTTTAGGTTCTTTTGTGGCATGGTTTACTTAGCATTTGATGAAAATTACCAAAAATAAGCCCACAAGGGCTTATTATTTAAAGAGGGAAGGGAGGGGCTAATTGTCGGAACTTTAAGGTAGTTATTCAAGTAAATGTTTCAGTTACATTAGCATAGACATTGAACAATTAAGGTAAAAAATCTAAGAATTTTGAAATCTAGGCCTTTTGCACCACGAATCGCGAGGCAGATAGACAATAGGTAATGAGAAAGGGACTGACAAAGAGGTTTGACTTGAATGGTTATACCTTAGGATTTCATCCACAGACACAAAAGTTAGAACTACATACAAAATAAATTGTACCATGTGAAAGTACTTCTGAAGAGGTTTCATTTGAACGGTAACACCATAGGATTTCATCCACAGACTCAAAAGTTAGAACTACATACTAAATAAATAGTACCATGTGAAAGTACTGCTGAAGAGGTTTCATTTGAAGGGCAACACCATAGGATTTCATCCACATACTCAAAAGTTAGAACTACATACTCAATAAATGGTACCATGTGAAAGTACTGCTGAAGAGGTTTCATTTGAATGGTTACACCGTAGGATTTCGTCCACCGACAAACATAGGGTCACCTTGTACCGCATAGTAGACAGAAACTTTAGAAAACCCAGAAAAGAACTGCTCGACAGCCTTTACCGGTTTGAATAGCAATCCTTTAGGATTTCAAGCTAAAGCTACATGCTAAAACATTAGCCAAGTACAGCTGAAGAGGATGTGTTTGAATGGCGATACATTCCATCCATAGACTTTATCGTTCGTCCAGAGTAACAAAAAGGTTAACAGAAAAGTGCTGCTCGTTATTTTTTATCGCAATGGTCCGGGATAATGGTATTCTGTACTTCGGAGGAAAATTTACAACTAATGATGTAGAGCCTACTAGAAAGAAGTGCTGAGTAACTTTCATTTGAACGGTGACTCCATAAATTTTTTTTTTACCACCTCAAAAGTTAGTACAGTAGAAGCTCGATTTAACGAAGGGCCAGAGGACTGGCAAAGTTTGTTTCTATATCGAGGTTCTTTTTCATACATTTTACTATTACTGGGGTCAAGAAAATTCTTCGTTATACCGAGGACTAAGTTATATAGAGATTCGTTATATCGAGGTTCCACTGTACTTACTTTTTTACAATAACTGATGTCTCCTAACCTCTGGTCTCGTCCGAGTAAAGGGTTGAATTATTCGCGTAAAATGACAGTAAATCATCACTTACTTTGCCTCGTGGAAGGTAAGAACTTAAAACGGCGTCCAAAGCTTTGCCACGTCGTGCTTTCAATCGGTCCTCTCGCGCTGCTTTAATACTGCGAGATTAATTTAATATGCTCTTAAATTTAAATTTTAAAAAATTAATTTACTTTTAATAACTTTCGTGCGAAGCTAATCATTTGCGGATTACCATAACGGAGTTCTGTCATAACAGGTTCAGCTTTGTTTAGTTTTCCAATTACTTACTGATGGCTTGTAAGTGCCAAAATCACAGCTTTGGAACAAATAAATATGTCTCCCGTACGGTTGCATACAGCAGAAAAAAATTCGAAAAGCTCTTAGGCTGAAGACCTCAACTGAGTTGGATTCCGCAAGTTCTTCCGTTTTGTACGTCCATTCTACCTTTTTTTGTATCTACTGTTTTATTTAAACCTTCTTTTTTGTTTTATACGGTTACAATTCATTTTTGTGTTTTGCTTAATTAAATGGCAAGCTGGGCCCAGTGGTTGAAATTCACTGAATATCATGGCGCAGCTACTTTATAATATTTTTTTATTGAATTTTCTAGATTAGAACTGATAGTCCGTATATTGTATTAAGGTTATCAGAAAAGTTCTGCACATTGGCATGAAGAGTGAGCTTCATTGGAAATGAATATAATGGAGCCTCCGGTGTAAATCGTGCGATCAGTTAAAAAAGTGTTTTTTGACGATCATTGTTTTCGGGCTATTCAAGCTTCAGTCATGACCTTTTTTAGCCGTCGGCTTGTTCTTTCTAGGGATTATTGGTAATTTTATTAATATTAATCCAAACTATTCCTCCATTTCAAATTGGCACAAATCCCCAGGCTAATTAGCCAGCTGGCGTTGACTAAACTTGGAAGACATTTGCAATGTCCTGTTAAATGACGTCAGTAGCACAAGCTATTACCAGGAAAAGGGATTGCAACCGAGAAGCCCCGGGGACGAGGCTGAGTTAGCTCGGTTGTTTTGGTATGGGATTCTTTGGTAGCATGGTTCGTACAATATTGAAAAGGTCTTGAATTTTAGTAGTCGTCTTGAAAAGTCCTTAGATTCGGTTAAAGTCCTTGAAAAGCACTTGATTGTTTTATTGGGTCTTGAAAAGTCCTTCAAATTTACTACCTTGTCTACGCCAGACACCCGTTTTCTGTAAACGTAGGTTTTTTGCCGAGGAAAACCTGGCTCATCCTCAATGTAAGAACTTATGAAACTCACGGGTAACGTGAAAACATTTTTGTGCATGAACAATATTTTATTTCTGTCTTTATTTCAAATGCTTTTTCTGTACCTCAGATGCAATTGCAAGTCATACCCAGTCATTTTGCAAAGTCTTGTTGCCGAAAGTTGTAACTGAGTTAAATAATGTGATCAACCATGGCTGAAGAAGTTAAAAAATCGTAAGTGACTCCATAACGTTTTTTAGCCAATAAGGTGTTCAAAAGAGGGTTAAATAATGCCTATTTATTGAATAAATCGTAGTCCTTGAAAACTGTAATTTGTCCTAGAAAAACCCTTGAAAAGTCCTTGATTTTTCTGAAGTTGTAGGAACCATGTGAAAATGGCGGAAAATTTCACATGTTTTGCGAAGAATAGATAACTGAACTTCTGCCTAAAAACATCGCAAAAAGAGCCTCATTCAATAATTGCTTATTGTTACTTGTGGGGCCTAGATTTGAGGGTAACGAGTTTATATCCCCTTAGCTGAAAGGTTACATGGTTCTATATTTGCACAGACTTTCTTCAAAGCTGTTGAAAACAATCGTTTTAATGTTGACAGACTTACAGAAAAAAGGTGTCTTGTTTTTTCACTTTTCTTCGTGGTTTAAAAACCACGGAAAAAAGTGAATTTATGGGCGAGTAGGGTTAACCTAATTATTAGTAGTGGTTAGTTCGCTCCCTCTGGCGTTAACGATGTCAAGACCATTTCTAGTTAGTCAAAACTAACCATTTCTAATGAGTACGTGGTATAGACCTCCCGACTCCCCGGTGAGTCGTTTTTAACGAAATTGACAAGGGGAACTAGGAATTTTTTTCTCTTGGGTGATATTAACGTTGATTTTTTTTCCAGATATGACAGGATCTAACGCTGTTAAATTAAAAAATATACTTGTTATTTATGACCTGGATTAGCTAATCACAGAGCCCACAAGAATCACTCTAAATTCCCGCTCTTTAATTGACCTTCGTATTACGAACTCACCTTAAAGACTGCAAAGTGTGGCGTTGTGCAACTTGCAATCAGTGACCATGCACTTATTTATATTCCACATAAGGCCCATTATCAGCGTACGGGTTCTAGGATAATCCGCAAAACCCGTCAAGTGAGAAATTTCCATAAAGCAAACTTCCTAAGGGACATACAGCAAAAGGAATGGCCAAATATATAAACACTTGACGATCCAAAGGAGATGTGGTCAACATGGAATTAAGGGTATGCTAATGGAATCTATTGACAAAGATTCACCACTTAAATCCAAGTGGGTTGGCAGCAAAAAGTGCCCATAGATTACTATAACCAGTTACGCAATGAAATCCGTAAATGAGATTTCTTGAAAGCTGTTATGGAATGCGAACGTTTGCCATGGGATCAATATAGACTAGCCCGGAACCAGACTGATAACGAAATTAAGAAGGCAAAGCGAAAATATTTCACTGAAAACCGGGAGTCTCTAAAAAAAATTATATACGACCAGCTTTGTGAGTGGAATTAAGGGTATGCTAAATCTATCGACAAACATTCACCACTTAAATCCAAGTGGTTTGGCAACAAAAAGTGCCCATAGATTACTATAACCAGTTACGCAATGAAATGCGTAAATGAGATTTCTTGAAAGCAGTTATGGAATGCGACCGTTTGATATGGGACCAATATAGACTAGCCCGGAACCAGACTGATAACGAAATTGAGAAGGCAAAGCGAAAATATTTCACTGAAAACCGGGAGTCTCTAAAAAAATTATATACGACCAGCTTTGTGAGTATCTTAATGAAAACAACATACTAACCCATTGCCGATCTGGATTCCACTCATTACACAGTACACTTACTGCGTTGGTCGAAGCCACGAATAGCTGCATGGTCCGTCAAAGTTGGCAATGGCCTTGTTATTGGTGTAATTTTTATCGACCTTAAAAAAAGCCTTTGACACCATTGACCATAATGTTCTTATACGGAAGCTTTACAAATATGGTGTTGATAGGAGTAGCCTCAAATGGTTTGAATCACAGCGACCGAAGCCAAAAATGCAGTATAAATGGCTACTTGTCAAATAATGCCCCAGTTTCCTGTGGAGTTCCACTGGGAAGTAATCGTGGACCACTGCTATTCCGTCTAGTTTACCTAATTTCCTCAATCTAGCCTATTCAAGAATGTTCGCCGATGACACTGATATATCCTTTGCTGCCAGTACAACGGCTGACCTTGGAAATGTCATAAATTTAGAGTTACGAAACCTCAATCGCTGGACTGATATCCAATTAACTATAAGCCGTCGCCAAAACTGAATTTATGATAATTGGGTCAAGTCAATGAATGTATGCTCTTTCGAATAATCAGATTAATATCGAGATCGACGGTAAACCGATCCAAAGAGTTGATGCAGCCAAATCTCTGGGTTTGCTAATTGACGAACACCTTCCATGGTCAAAACATTTAGACCATAAAAGTATGAAAATAACTTCGGCCATAGGCGCCCTTAAACGCGTAAGAACAGCTCTCCAAATATGCCAAGCGTTAATTTTACCCCACTTTGACTACTATAGCTCCGTTTGAGATGGACTCAGCGTCGCCTTGAGTGATAAGCTGCAAAAACTCTAAAATAGGGCTGCCAGAGTCATTACCAGGTCCGGTTACGATGCGAGCGCTAGTTTCCTTCTAAATAGGCTTCACTGGGACAATCCTGCCACACGTTGAAAGAAGCCAAAGGCCATATTAATGATTAAAACAATAAATGGGCTTTCCCTTGGGGGAACTCCCATATGAAAGGGGCAGGATGCTCGTCGTCTCGCTTAGGGGTGTAAATTTCAGATTTTGGTCGCGCTTAGGGTGTTCTGGGCAAAACACCATTATATTTAGCTGCAAAGGTCTCTTTTAGGGTTGCACTAGCCTTTGCCAGGCTCTCAGATAGTATAGTGCGACTTTTCCGACACCACCATCTCGGAGCCTGGAACAGGCTAGGGTTGCACTCGAAGAAATATTTAAAAATTGTACATTTTCAATTCGTTTTATTTACTCGATTTATGTAATCGAAGTTTAAAATGATCGCTTTTAGGGGTTGGGCCACGCCCAGATTGGTCTCCTTTTGGGGGTTTCAAAAATTTCCGACGAGCATCCCCGCCCCTTTCATATGCGAGTCCCCCCCTGGGGGGCTTTACCCCGTGTACCTGCAGGATTTATTTAACTTCCGCAGTACTATGTATAACCTAAGAGATTCCGAGATTAAACTAGACTTGCCCAAACCTCGCACAAACTATCGAAAACGTAGCTTTGGCTACAGCGGGGCGGTCCTGTGGAATAGCTTGCCCCTTAGCTTAAGGAAATTGGACGCTTTAAAGGGGAAATTCACTGACATTACAACAACAATCAGTCAGGCTCCCACACGGCAATCCTGTAAAAGGGATATTACTTAATCAGTTTTTTTATTGTAATACTGAGGATTTAACCGTGTATAAATAAAACCCCAGTAAAGTAGGAGCTGCTCGTAAGGTGTTTCCTCATTGATTGGTTGCAGAAAACAACAACACATCCTTGTTTATCATTATTTCCCACTGTTTCACGGTTAGGGTATCGAACCAATTGGCTCTTAGGGTTAGGAGGGCTGCTACATGACTGTATGTATGTATTTATGTTCGCTATTCGATGTAGCTGTTTTCTCGTCTAAAATTGTGTAGCAAAATTTATCTTGCACACAAGCTGTCAATGAGGATACACCACAGACCCAACCCGAAAAAAGTCTCATCAGTATGCATGTCTTTTAAAAAGAGCAAATGTTTCATGCATTTTTTAAAACATATTAAATATGCATTTCAGTGTTTACTCTCGGCAAGGCAAACAGTGGTCAGTTCATTTTCAAAGGTTCAAACTTTGATCCGTAGTCTAATGTTTATTTATTTTGAATGTTGTCTGATTGATTCATTGAACGGAAATTTTTGTCAAGTTCAATACACATCAAGCTGTATTAATATTCACTCTTTTATAAGCACTCAACACGCGTTTGAAATTTGCATAATCTTTTCAATTTCATTTCTTTCAGCCCACGGTATTAAGTCGATACATGTACACGATGGCGAGAAACTGAACCATTTATCTGCTAATCGCCAAGGAAGAAACAGAGACTGCATGAGAGATGGAAGAGAAACAACTCGAAAGAAAACGCTCTGGGGAAACTGATCGTGGAAAACAAAATTTTCTTCAAAGATTACGTGGAATTAATGCATGCACGCCTGAACGGCTCAACTATAAAGTCTTATTCTTTGCTTGTTATGCTGCATACGCCTGCTTGTATACTTTCATCCCGCTGTATTTTAAACAGCTGGGCTTATCAGCCTCGCAGACCGGAATCCTTATTGGTCTTCGTCCTTTGTGTCAAGCGATCGGGGCACCCTTTTGGGGAATCCTCGCTGATAAATACAAAGCTCGGAAACTGGTCCTGCTTCTCGGTTCAACTGCTTGGCTGATCAAGAACCTGTTGATTCTAGCCATTCGGCCGAGTCATGAAGTTTGCGTTGCAAAGCCTTTATCACCTGGAAATCAATCTCAGTCGCTGTATGCGGTCGCGCTGTCGAAGGATATAGCTATACCGTCAATTTCAACAGCCACAAGCATCTCTCATAACAAATACAAATACTTTGTGCAAGTGGATAACGATGAACTCGCGCGTATATTCTATATTTTTCTGGCGCTCGTGCTCGTGGGCGAGCTGTTCGGTTCCATAGTTCACCCTCTTTTAGATGGATGCGCCGTCGATTACCTGGGTGATGAGAGGAAATCATACGGGCGGATTCGTCTGTGGGGTTCCGTGGGAATGGTCATAGCCAACTTGATGGCCGGCCTTTTAATCAATCATTACGTTTACCACTACTGCGGGCAGACTCGTAAGGACTATGCAACTGCTTTTTACCTATTTGCTGCTTTCATGGGGGTAACGATCCTTCTTCTTTTTTTCGTTAAAATCGTGTATTCTGAGACACCAAAACAGTCGCTAAGAGATATCAAAGAGGTGTTCAATTCTCGCCTTAAACTCTCTTTCTGGTTTGTGGCGATTGCTTTTGGAATGAGCGATGGATTTCAAGGCGACTTCAATTCGTGGTTTCTTGATGAACTTAACGCAACATCTTTTCAGGTAATGAATTGTGATAGTGCAGAATGTCGTTAAATGTAAACAATATAGGTTAACCGGTGCCTGCTTCAAATGGTGTCTGTGTAGTGATTTAGTTATCACTGAGAGCGTACATTAAAGTACACTCTAAATCAGAAAGATCTGTTTCAGCCCTAAAAATAGGGCCGTTTCGGTGAGTAAAATACAGTCCTATTTTTGAGTCTAATTTGGCTTCCTTAAATCAGGGCCAATACAGTCCAATTAGCTAGGGCTGATTTGACCCCAGGGCTGAAATGGGCCCTACCGTGGGCTGGAATAACCTTTTGATTGAGCTTTTTTGGCCTAAATTGTGTTCAAATGGCTCCAGGAAGGGCTGAATTAGACTTTGGCCAGCAGGGCTGAAACAGATCTTTTTAATTTTCAGTGTAAGTTAAATTCTTTAACGTTCTTTAAAAGTAACCTTCCAAACAAAGTTTTCATCAGGGTAAAGGCAATTAGTTTAAACATGCTCTAGCCGGCGTGGCAGGCGCGCAAGGCAGGCGTGAAAGGTGTTCGAAAGGAAGGGGAGAAAGTTGGTTATGCTTAAACGCGATGGGCAAGATGGTTCCCTTTTGGTATATCGCTCTCGCGTGCGCGCACGTGCTCGCGCGTCCTTCGAGCCTCGCGCACCTGAATTTTCCCCTTTCTAAATCCCTGCTAACTTATTACGCCTCCCTCCTCGTGAGATTACGGATTTGACAAATGAAAAACACACCTAAATTTCAGTATAAAAGAAAATCGAGGGGGAACCCCCGGGGGGTACTCCCTATTATGGCCTATACCGGGAGGCTCTACCCGAAAGGGGTACCTTTTTCAGGCTGCATGAATACGAAAGGGTAGGGATTTTACTCGCAGAAGTATGTGAAAGGGTGGGAAAATCTGTCATTTGGGTCTGTGAAAGAGCCTAAAAGGGCTAACAGATGAATTTTATGGCTTTATAAAGTTGAGAAAACGGGTTTTGTTTGGAGACTGGTTCCTATTTAAAAGACCATGCATTTACAGCAGTTTTTTTTCTTTGCATCCCTTTTTAAACAAGGTATGTGAAAGGGAAACCATTTTTCAATAGAAGGTATAAGGGGCACCTTTTTCGTGAAAAATGGTATATAAAAGGGTAAGGGGTTGGACCTCGGGGCAGAGCCTCCCCGTATAAAAATTTGTTGAGTGCTCCCCCGGGTGGGAACTTAAACTAAGTTGAACAAACACCAGAAGCCCATTATGAGCTCCTGATGTCATCTAAGAGGCGCATAAAATTCAGGTTTTCCTCAAAAGATGATGATTTTCACATCCTCATGCATGGCACGTGAGACAAAATCTTTTCCAATGTGTTTATCCAATTTTTCGTTCTATCCTTCCAGGTAGGGTTGGCAGCAGCCTTGCATTTCACCACAAGCGCCCTGTGTTACTTCGCGGCGAACTATTTCCTGGAAATGTTTGGATATTTCAAAACCATCGCTGTCGGGATGGCCTGTTACTGTGTAGTGTTCATATGCTACTCTTTCACCCATAGCCCATGGGTGGCTCTCGCCCTCTTTGCAGTAATCGGTGGAGTATTTGCAGTCACGTGGACGGCGTGTGTAGCGTACGTAGGATCAATCTCGACTGCTATTGGTTTAGGAGCAGCAGCACAAGGTAAAGACAACGCAGTATAGCNTATCCTTCCAGGTAGGGTTGGCAGCAGCCTTGCATTTCACCACAAGCGCCCTGTGTTACTTCGCGGCGAACTATTTCCTGGAAATGTTTGGATATTTCAAAACCATCGCTGTCGGGATGGCCTGTTACTGTATAGTGTTCATATGCTACTCTTTCACCCATAGCCCATGGGTGGCTCTCGCCCTCTTTGCAGTAATCGGTGGAGTATTTGCAGTCACGTGGACGGCGTGTGTAGCATACGTAGGATCAATCTCGACTGCTATTGGTTTAGGAGCAGCAGCACAAGGTAAAGACAACGCAGTATAGCTGAAGAATGCAATTGCCTGATTTCAAACCGAGGGAGGCTGGATACGAGTCTGTTTATTATGGGATAAGCCACTCGAGATCGACAAAATCACAAAGACGAAAACGAGATCTGCAAAATCCTCATGTTTTGCGTTTGTTGGGCCTATATGAACGAGATACAGCCATTCAAAAACTACAAAATTAACCAAGAAATATGGACGTCCGGCAATGCGTACATCTCTTAGTAATTTTTCAAGTGTTGTAATAACTGTATCTTTATCAGTATTGGCTCGATTAACACCAAGCTTGAGAATTTTCCTTACCTCAGTGAGCTTTTCCTGGCTATATCCCGTGTTTTTTACCCCATAATACACGGACTGTGCCCAGTCGTCTTTCTCGGTTTGAAATCAGGCAATAACACCCATACCTAAGGGCCGAGTACAGGTCAGTCACACTGTTGCGAGTACCAATTATTTCCTCTTATAGTAAAATTCATCTATGCACATGCAGTATATTTAAAATTCTATCAGAGTTCTATTCGTCAATATTCTGTTGTTCGTTGCAGATAAAGCTCAGATAAGTTCTCCACGTGTTTTCCTCCGAATAAAATTCATAGATCAGGGTACTTAGAACAACCCCACTGGTTAGTCAGGTGTAAAGTAAAAAACACCCTTGTTTATATTTTGCTGAGGGGACGGGGAATGCGTCGAAATTTAAAGCGCAAGTCCCCATAGGCCATTTGCATGATGGCGTCGTTTTTCCTCTCTTTTTTATTTTTGTAAACTGAGCGAAGTGTAAAACAACAAAATCAAGAAAAACAACGAGATTTCACCATTTTGGAAAGGTCCCACTGCGTTGTTTGTCTCTCTAGCAACGTGTTTTTGTACCGTTAAGTTTTAAACATTTTGGATTAGTTTTTGTGATATCCGGTATAATGATAATAACACTTTTTGAGACCTTGATAATTAAAGATAACACAAAAACCGAATCTATTAATCGTCTATTATACACTGTTTTTAGGAAAATAACGAAAGCACAGCGTCGCACGGAACACACTTTTCGCTGTGGTTAGAAATAATGCACTGCCCACTCAACCTGCATTTTTGTAGGTTGCGCTGATTTAAAAAAAAATAGCTGGAGGTTCTTAGCCAATGAGAAGACAGATAGTAGGTACAATTTATGATAAAATTATTTTTTCTCATTTTACAGGTATTCTGAATGGACTGTTTGTAGGTGTTGGTAACGGATCTGGCACCATGCTTGGCGGTTTGCTGGTCAGCAAAACTGGAATTCGTGTAGCGTACAGACTGTTTGCTGCTTTCCTCACCTTAGTAATGTTATTGTTTCTCGCTTGCCAATGGCGGGGAGAAAACAATGATGATAAAACATCGTATCGAGCGCTACCGAACAAGGACGAGGAGGATTCTAATGAGTAGTGATAATCGGCTGATAAAGTTCTCTTTTCGGAGACCTCTAGAGTTTACCAATTTGAAATGGCGCTCCCGGGACGTTTATTAAATTGTAGGGGTTCAAGAAGGGACTTTCATCTTGATAAATAAGAGGCATTTC